GACCCAAAAAAAAAAAAAAAAAGACACAAAAGTTACAGAATATATAAATCCATTTCTAAAGTGTTCTTGCTTTGACAACATTAATAGAGATGAGGACAGAGCCCTATTAGCAGGAATCATAAGTAAGAAGGGAGGCGATTGTGGCCATCAAAAGTTAGCACAAAGGATATTTGTGATGGGACTTTCTGCATCTTGATTGTGGTGACAGATGGTACACACATCTACCTACACATGTGACAAGATAGCATAGAACTGAACACACTTGATCGTAAAATCAGGAAAAGGCCAGTGGATGTATTAATACTAATTTTCTGTGATGTACTTCACTTATACAAGATATAAGGAGAAGGTAAATGAAGAGTATATGTAGCTTCTCTATATTATTTCTCACAAGGAAATATATCAGTCTATCATTATCCCAAATCAGAAGGTTGAAAAAAACAAAACAGAGCATAGGAATAGAAACTGAGTAGTGTGGCGCTGTGGCTCAAGTGGTAGAGTGCTCGCCTTGAGCTGATGAGCTCAGGGACAGCACCCAGTCCCAGAGTTTAAGCCCCATGACAGACAAAAACAGCAACAACAACAACAAAAACAGAACACGAGACTGAGTAGTAAGACGTTGGCTTTTTGGATGGGCAAAATCATGATGAATTCTAGCTCCACCACTCATCACATTTGGAAGCTTGAGACAGTTCTTTAGTCTCTGTTCTTCAGTTTGTTCCTTTTTAATACTTGCCTTTCTGAGTTGTTTTGAGGATTACTTCAGAGTAAACATAATAATAACATAAAAATGTTATTACATAAGCTCCACTTATCATGTACATTGGATCATAAAAATAGTTTGTCTTTTCATTTAACAGATTGCCTAAAAGAATAAGCAGTCTGGCTTCTGTGGGAATTTAATGCCAGTAGGTATTCTGTGTTTCATTAACTTCAGCTCAGGTCTTTATTCTTTCATGAAGCTTACTCTGTTCTGTTTGTATGTATCAGGCAACTCATTATTTAATGAGTTGTTCCTTTTTCAGTGTGTTGGCTGCTGTTTAGCTAAATCACAGCTTGTTTATTCTAGCAGTCCATGTTCACAGTGTCAATTACCTGCAAATCTGACGATTGTCTTGAATCAAACAATTTCTGCAAATGTGTTTTTCAATTTCTAAACATGTGATGGGAGATCTTTCTGAACTTGCATTATAGACTTAATATAAATACTTTAAAATACTTTAAGCTTCATTTGTGGCTTAGGATGCAATCATTCTTTGTTTAAACATTATATGCTTGTGAAGAATGCTACTTAAATGCTGAATGTACAATTTTATCTTCATTTAATCCCTTGAATTGTCAGTCAAGTATTCAGTCTCCTTACAGATTTCATCCAAGTTGACCTATAAGGAATTGTTACAGTAAAATGTCCCTCTGTGATTATAAATGTGGCATTTTCTCATTCTGTAAGTTTTTACTATATGCAGTTTTGGCTATATTGTCAAGTACAACCAATAGTTTTCCTGATGGATCATCATTTGGTCATATGGAATGACACTCTTTATTCTTACCAAGGTTCTTTGCCTTAAATATACTGTTGTTCTATTATATGGTCATTCGAATTCATTTTTAGCTATGCTTGCATAGTGTATTTCTCAGTGGTTCAGAATTCTCGAGAGATTTTTTTCTCACCCATCTGAAGTACAGGCTTCCTCATGACAAGCTTCTTTGCTACTTCTCCATAAGACTGATTTTTTTTCAAGGCCATCATTTTCATTCTAGTCTCCTGAGTTATATAAAGGCTCTCATTTCAAACTTCTTGCCATACACAAGCCTAAGATTTAATCTGCCCTCTCTATGAAGATTGCAAAATTCAAACCCTTAGGCCAGGCACCAGTTGCTCATGCCTATAATCCCAGCTACTCAGGAAGCTGAAGATTATGATTCTAAACCAGCCCTTGAAAGAAAGTTCATGAGACTCTTATCTCCAATTAGCTATTATAAAAGACTAGGAGTAGAGCTGTTATTCAAGTGGTAGAGTGTTAGACTTGAGCAAAAAAAAGCTTAGGAACAGGATCTGAATTCCAGCCCTAGGACAGACACACACAAAAACAATTCAAACCTTCAAATCCACCCTTGACACTGCATGCTGTCATTTTTGGATTCCAATTTCACTCTCTTGAGGATTCCCCTTGGAGACTCACCTATACATTTAAACAATGTAGCTTATATTTTCTTTAGTGTTGCTCTGCATTTGACATGGGTGTGTGAAGAGAAATAGTGGTTATTTGATCTATCAAAGCACTGGAAAAGGAGGGTCTAGAGTCCAAATTAAACTGAGAAGGATGTAATGTTGTTCAGCAACTTGTAAGACTTTGTATCTGCCTTTCTGAGATTTGACGTCATATGAATTGTATAAGTCTCCAAAGTTTGAATGGTTGCTGAATGCTCTGGTGGGGTGGCAAAACCTACAAAGCCTTGCCGTGTAGATTTTTTAATGTTTCAACTTCAAAATTTAAGGACCTTTGTAACCATAACATTAATAAGTAGCATTAAAATTATATTGTTGTTTATATGACTCTTTCATAGCTAAAACTGACATACACTTAATTGTTTTCAATAGAAGTATTGACATAATTTTCAAGATTATATATGTGTGTATATATATATATATATATGTAAACTGTAATGGTAATCTTCTGTCATAAGGAAAAAGCTGCACCAGTATTACATTCAAAATGTAAAATTTAATGAGGAATAGGCTTGTAAATTACAAGCAATATAGTAATATTACTAATAGTGAATTATAGCTAATATAACTTAAGTAGTTTTATATATATGAGACCTTTTGGGGGTAGTGAACTTCAGAGCCTTATTCTGAAAAATGGAAGATTATACCTCTGAAGACTATTTATATGTACATCCTACTTTGTGTCTTAACTATCATAGTTATTCTCATACCAAAAGCTATTTTTTATTGTGAAAATACTGTACAGAGGGGGTACAATTACATGAGCAAGGTAATGAGTACATTTCTTATCAAGCATTGTTGCTTCCTCTTTTGTTTCCCCTTACCGTCCCTTCCCATCTCCCCTTCCTACCCCCCCCAAAGTATTTCAATTTCATAAATATACCAAAACCTTTCCAAACCATGTGCCAGTGGCTCACATCTATAATCCCTGCTACTCAGGAAGCTGAGATCTGAGGATCACAGTTTAAAGCCAGCTGGGCAGGAAAGTTCATGAGACTTATCTCCTATTAACCAGCAAAAAGTTGGAAATAGAGCACTAGCCTTGGGCAAAAAAAGCTCAAGGATGGCACTCAGATCCTGAATTCAAGCCCCGAGACCAACCCAAAAATAACCCTTTACGTAACTGGAATCCAACACAAGATGTTTGAGAAGTTAGAGTCAATTTTCCATTCATGAACATTTCTATAATTTTATCATTAAATTCAAAACAGTCATAACGGTACATGCCTGTAATCCCAGCTCAGGAGGCCAGCCTAGAGTTTCTAGTGAGACATGGACTCAAAATAAGAGAGAGAAAAGTGCTGTTGGTGTTGTGTTTTCTATTTTAAGTGATTTTTGTTTATTGATTATTCTCATGAACCCAAGGAAAAGAACAAGCATATTTTTACCAGTGACCTGGACTCTTTTTGTCTAATACAAGATGTTTCTACTTATAACAGCTTTTCATGTTCTTGTAGGTTACCTTCCGAACAAGAATCTATCACTGTAATATTAACAGCCAAGGTGTGATCTGCCTGGACATCCTGAAGGACAACTGGAGCCCGGCCCTAACCATCTCTAAGGTCCTCCTCTCCATCTGCTCACTGCTTACAGACTGCAACCCTGGTAAGGCTTGAAATCTACCATGGCACTGGGTCTTGTGGAGGTTAAATGTCACATCTTACAACCTGATTCTGATGCTGTTAACTGCCATGCTGCCATTGTTATCCAGTTAGTTCCCATAGGACATAACTCATAACCCAGTTGTTTTGTTTGTTTGTAAGTTAGGTCTTTACATGAATCTTTTTTACTACTATGATGTGACAAAAAAAAAAGTATATAATATGACCAAAATGAATGAAAAATGATTTTAGATGAGAAAGGCTGTTTGAAGAATAATTAAATTCTCCTGCCAAATAATAATAAAATTGAATAGCTTAATCTTTAATTAGAGCCTTTTAGAAGATGTTAATTTGAGAAATGTGGGCTATTAAAATCTGGTAACAATCAGGCGGCCCCACACAGATGTGACCTTTTGGCATCTTAATAACCATGTGTCTGACAAGCTATTAGAATAAAAAAGCTGAATGGTCCGGAATAGGAAATTCAACTTCCCAGGAAAACTGAAGAATTTATGGCCAGGCCTTTCTGGCTTGCTACTGTGCTTAACGCTGCAATCCTTAGCCCTATGCACTCCTACAATGAGAGTTTTAGCCAGTTTCTTTTATCTAAAACAAAATACACCTGCTGATTGTACACTTGGACTTTAGAAAATACAACAACCCAAGAATGAGGGGGTTTGGTGATCTCAATGGGAACATTCTTTAATTAATCACCTTAATATGGCCCAAAATTCCATGTCCTGTGTTTAGAACTAAATGCTTTTCTACTTTTATGTGGGTTTTTGTTTTGCTTTTCAGTAATAACATTTTTAGTGAAGAATATGAAAATAACTTAATAGCATTTTAATATTTAGAATGTTTTAAAGTAACAAATTGATGTTTTTAACAACAAAAAGGAATCATAATTATGTGAGGTGATTATCCAATTTTTTTCTTTTTCTTTTTTTTTTTTTGGTCAGTCATGGGGCCTGAAGTCTGGGCTTGGGCGCTGTCCCTCAGCTCAGCTCAAGGCGAGTACCCTACACTTGAGCCACAGCGCCACTACCAGCTTTTTTTTTTCTGCTTATGTGGCGCTGAGGAATCGAACCCAGGGCCTCATGAATGTAAGGCAAGCACTGTACCACTGAACCACCTTCCCACCCCAATACGATTTTTTTAATTTCCATTTTTTCAGAAATGTTTATGGAACTATTTGCAGATAAATACTTTGATGTCTGGAGTTCACTTCCGCATAGTCCATAAAGATTGGAGGTGGTGGAGTGTAAAAAATGACAAGCTTGACCATTGCAGTTATTAAATCTGAGTGATAAGTGCTCACAACTATTTTGCTTTAAATGTGTTCGAAATTTTCCAAGGTAAAGATTCCTTTTTTTTAGTTTCTCAAACACCTTAGGCATAATCTGTAAAGGGTGTTGATTTCACTCTCTTGTGCTTTGGGGACATCTTTGGACTGCACTCTGGTGGTGCTTATCTCTCTTCCCTGTCATCTGCCTTCAGATATTCCATTACCTTCCCAAACATGCAGTATATGAAGTCTTTGCCCCTCTTTTAGCAAGCAGAACTACACAGGCTGGGTTCAGATCTTCCCTCTCTGCCCAGTATTTTTCCAATGAAAACCAAGTATGAGTTACCCCATCATAGATTTATGCAATCTTTATTAGAACAAATAGAGCTGAGAATGACAACTAATGAATCCTCAGTTCTACTCCATTGTTAAGCTGAGGCAAAGCACAGCTGCAGCTTCATAGGCAAGTTATTACTCTCAAATGTTCGGAGCAAATGAAGAGGAATTGGCCCCAGTGGCTCTTACATAGTGATCTGTAAAAGGTCAGAATAACTCCTTCCTCCACATCACAGCCCTGTTTAGATCACTTAAAGACTGTTTTTTAAAAATTATAATGATCATACCATACTTATCCATAAATTGCTTGTGATAACTTAGCTTTGGTTTTTTATTAACTGTTTGTGTTTGGCCTGGCTATGTGAGATATTAAATTGTGTTACCAAACTTTCAAATTTTCTAGGTGATAATGACTGTTGGAGAGCATAGTGATGCACACCTGTCACCCCAGTTATGTGGCAAACATAGATAGGAGGATCATGGTCCGTTTTAACCCAGACAAAAAGTGAAAGCCCACTAAAAATAATAATAATAAAAGCAAAAATGAATGGGGGTGTTGCTGTGTAGGTGGAGTATCTGCCTAGCAAGTGTGAAGCCCTGAGTTCAAATCCTAGCAGGGCCAAAGAAAAAATTTAGAAGTCAAACTATATTCAATATAATGGCCTAAGTATTCTATGAAGATACCTGTTGTCAAATGTACTTTTTGGGGGATAGGGTTGATACTGAGGTTTAAACTCAGGGCCTGTTGTTTTCTAGGCAGTGCTGTTATCACTTGAGCCATGCCCCTGGCTCTTTTTCACTTCAGTTATTATTAAGTTGGGTTTCATACCTTTGTTCTGGCCCAGTCAGTCTACACTGCAATCCTACTTATTGATTATAGGCAGGCTTCACCACCTCTAGTTTTTTGTGTTTTGTTTAGACGGGGTCTCCCTATTACTTTACCTAGGCTGGCTTTGAACTACCATTTTCCACATTTTCATCTCCCATGTAGCTGAGATTATGGTCATGAGATGCCCCCTCCCCTACCTCAGAATTATGTTTTCTAAGAATAATTCCAGAAGTAAGCACTCAGCTAACTGCATGGAGAACAGAACTTCACTGGGGCCAAGATGCATGGAGTAGCAGCCTCATGTTCTCTGCAGAAGCGTCCATTTACCTGACGGATGTGGGTGCCCTGTCTCAGTAAACTTTATAGACTAGTGTATTTCACTTCCATCCTAGTCAGAATGTTTTTGTGACTGCAGAAATGCCTTAGTGGGATCAGAGTCAGAGTATTGTGGATAGCTTAAAGTTACAATTAGTCACATGTGTTCAAAAGTTAATAGCCTGTGTTAATTGAGTAAAAGTTTTTAAATGCAGGATTAGTGTTTAAAGGAGGGTTTTGTTTTTGTATTTAATTCTCTGGAAAGATGTTTTAAAGTTGGCAGTGCTGTAAATCAACAAAGAAACCTTTGATTTGTATTAGGAGTTACATTTAGGGAACTCTGACTTTGTGTTACATTCATAGTATTCATGTCCTAGGGATAATATCTTAAGGAAAAAAGAAAAGAGGATTCTAGATATATAATTCCTCAGTGACATTGAATTAGTTCTTTTCCAAAATAGAAGTGTCTTTAATGTTTGAAGTTTGTTTTTTATACTAATGATCCCTGCTTGTTAAATTTTGTTTCAATCAAGAATCATATAAGTACTTTATTTTCATTTGAGATTATGGCCTTGAAACTCTTAAATCAGTTGAACTCTCAGCCAAGCTAAATTTGCCTCATAGTGTATGTGTAAATTTTAATACATTGCCTCTCAACTTTTAACCATGACTGACTTGTATAGCATTTGCCTGAATGCTTAATTGCCCCATAACTAACATAATTATGTTCATGGATTAGCTGATCTGTACAACTTGGTGGGGGAAGAATTGGGAGGAGAGAAAGAGGGAGAAAAATGAGGGAAAGAGTAACAAGTTAGACAAGAAATAAAATCACTACCTTACTTATGTAACCTTGACAATAAAATTAAAATAAAGAGAGACAAATAGAGAGAAGGGGCTGGTGATAATCATGTCCAAGGATACAGAACAAGTTATCTAACCCATCATCGTTTCTAGCAGACAGTAGAGCATCACATAAAGCTTTGTCAGCTTTTTGTGACCCCACAAAAACACTACTGGACTTGGTTTTACTCATCAGTGACCTTTTTCCTTTTGTCCAGGCTGATTCTTGCTTTGCTTTGCTTTACTTTAACTTTGTAAGGTAAAAACAGTTGATCTCTGTGTATTTAGTCTATATATTCAAACCACTTTCCCCCAGCCTTTGATTTGTCTTCACCTTCCTTCCAGCCTGAAGTATATCTCTCTTCTCTAAAAGAATCACTGAGCCGGGTGCTGGTGGCTCACGCCTGTAATCCTAGCTACTCAGGAGGCTGAGATCTGAGGATCGAGGTTCAAAGCCAGCCCGGGCAGGAAAGACTGTGAGACTCCTATCTCCAATAAACCACCAGAAA